AAAAAAAAAAATAATGAAAATGTACGAGATGAGGCTAGAAGAGGTTCGATAATAAGTGAAATTAGTTAAGTCGTATATCCATTGTATCAAAGATAACGGGTCTCCCCTGATTCATGAGTTTCAGATACGGGAGTCGGCTGTGACACACTTCCAGTAACTCGTCACCTCAGATCGGGACTTGTTTACGCCCCTTCCCCCCCCCCNNNCCAACAACGCTTCCCTCTTCCCCACCATCCCGCATTCAGTCGACCACGTTGACCTCTGCGACCTTCTGAGTAGGGAGGAGATCAGAGAGCCTGTTTTTGGTATGATCCCAACAGTGTTTCTGGCCCGGATGGCTACTCGTCTCTTCTTTCAGGTCTGCTGGGAGATGTTGAGACTGACGTTGAGGAAGTTGTGGTGGATTTCTTCTCGGGTCACCAGATGCCAGAGTCCTCATAACAACCTCTATTGTTTTGATACCCAAGAGACCTGACCCGAGCTCCTGATCCGATTATAAATCTATCAGTCTTTGTAACGTTACCAATAAGCTCATCTCCAAGATCCTTAACGATCGCCTTGCTCCTTTCTTCCCTTCCATTGTCTCTCCGAACCAGAGTGGTTTCATCAAGGATTGAGTCATCAGCGATAACATCCTTTTTGCCCAAGAGATGATCTACGACATCTCCCATGCGAATCGGTTACGAGCTCCGAACCTTGTGTTGAAGCTAAACATGGCTAAGGCATATGATAGGGTCGAGTGGCCGTTTCTCAGGGAGGTTTTGTCTGGGATGGGCTTCCCTGAGCATTGGATTAGTTTTCTGGAGGCGTGCGTGGAGCACTACATGTTCTCTGTTCTAGTTAACGGTAGCTCCACTGACTTCTTCCCTTCCACCTGTGGTTTTCGGCAGGGGCATCACTTATCCCCCTCTTTTTTTGTCCTGGCGACGGACTACCTGTCTCGTTGCCTTGACTGCTTCATTTGCGACTTTTCGAGGATGACCTAAAGCACACGTGGCTATGGTCCCCCCATCTCCACCTCTCTTATGCGGATGACATTATTATCTTCACTCGTGCGGTTAATAATGGACTGACCGAGCTCATGCACCTCATAGGGCACTAAAGCTCGGTCTCTAGTCAGCTGGTCACTGCGCAAAAGAGCACATTCACTCTTGATCATCACATTACGGACCAGTGGGCTCATTAGGTCCACGAACGCACTGGTTTTGCTCGTGGAGACCTCCCCATCACCTACCTTGGTCTCCTCCTGTACAAGGACACCTCTTGCATGAGCTCTTTACTGAAGTTAGACAGAGGATGATTGACCAGATCACCAGCTGGCCTCACAGACACCTCTTTTTTGGTGGTCGACTAGCACCCTTAGGTCCCTTCCGCTTCATCTCCTTACGGTCCTCGATCCCCACCAGTCTACTCTACACGAGCTAGATCAGATCCTGGCTCATTATTTTTGGTGGCATGGGGAGTGCTCCCGGAGAGGAAGACAGGTCCACTAGGTGAAGTGGGACTCCGTTTGTCGCCCTTTCTCTGAGAGAGGGGGGGTCTCAGGTCTGGCGTTTCGCGGATGTTGTCACTGCATTCTTTTATAAGATGTGGTGGCGCTTTAAGGAGGGTAAGTCACTCTGGGCTCAGTATCTTCGCCAGAAGTACTGTCCTGGAGGCGCTGCCCACCCCTGTAGGGTGACGGCCACCACCCGCGATAGCAGTCAATTGAGGCGACTCACCATGATTAGTAGACGTTCTCAGAAGCATATATTATAGACTCTGGGTGAAGGGGACATTAGCTTTTGGGATGAGTGGTGGTTCGGTGAAGGTCCCTTTTCGAGCACTAGACAGGTCACCCACATTCCCATTCTGCAGGTGAAGGACCTGTGGGGGGGTTGGGATATGGATAGGTTAGAGAGGATTCTGGGTATTGCAGCGAGCTTTAGTGACCATGTGATAGATGAGATCCAACAGATTCTCACCTCGGAGGGCGATTTATACTATATGAGGTGGAGACTTTCATCTTCAGGTACATTCTGTACGACCTTGGCTTTGGGGGGAAGTACAGCTAGGTAACCGGCCTGACCTTCTTTTCGAGGCAATCTGGACTGACCTAGTTACCTCGACCATTTTGTTTTACTATAGCACCTCATTTTGCGCCGACTACCGACTGATACTGTGATGCAGGTGAGGGGTTTCTCCTTCCCCTCGCGTTGCTACTAATGTGTTGAGACTGGAGATTATCATACAGAGACCTTCACCCATTTGTTTTTTTAGAGTGAGATTGTGAGGAGAGTGTGAGAGCATTATACAGTTACACACATATTCCCTTACCCTCCACGGATACTTTCTTTGAGCTCCCCAGTTTTTTCAGACACAGCACACACAATAGACACGTCGGCTTCCTTATTCTTTATCTGATCCTTTGGGCCACCTGGACAGAAAGGAATAATGCGAAGCACTCTTTTTTGTGTTCCCATATTATTTTGCAGCTTGACTGGTATCTCTCCATTCTCACTTCTTTGGGCAGACTCACCCACTGAGACTGGAAAGGCTACACGCCACCTCACTGCCTTGTACCACCTCTGCTGCCACATGTCCAGCATCCACGGCCGAGAGCTGTTGTTTGGCTGAAACCCGAGTCGCCTTGGGTTAAGCTAAACAACGATTGGGCATTTGACCGACTTATTAGAGCCGCTGGAGGTGGGGGCCTGATCAGTGATCATAACGGCGCCCTTATTACTGCCTTCCACACCCCTTTTCGGGCATCCTCGAACTATGATGCAGAGATTGAGGCACTTTAGATCGATCTTCAGATTGCTGCCTCGACCTCTCATATTTGGATTGAGTCGGATGCTGCCGCTGTCATCACACTCTTGACTTCTGGCCATCGAGGCACTTGGCAGATTCAACATCCACTCATGCGGATTAGAGTATATTGGAAGAATTTCTTATATCGGAAGAAGATGTTTTTTTTTTTACGTTCTCAAAAGCTTCTTCCAGTTTGCAGGGAGTATTATATAGAAATCGAATTTGGCATTTGGATATTATTTCTATTAATGATCTAGCCGATCAGAAATCAAAATTTTGATTTCCTAGATCTCCCAGATTTCCACTAAAATGTTCATGTAGTATGTAATAAGGGTTAAATTTCCAGTCGATTCGATATCGGATCTCACACTTTTTCTATGAAGAGAATCGGCCTGTTGATTTCCTTGCTGGCATCGGATCCTCCTCTCCCCAGAGACGTATTTTTCAGCCTGACGATATTCCTCCCCATCTTCGTACCCTTATACGGATGGACCAGATGGGATACCCTTCATTTAGATTTGGGCAGTCAGACCTACCTTTTGGAGCCTCTGCTTCCTCATGATGTTGACTCTTCACCGACACTTTTTCAGGACCAGGATCAAGTTTCTTTTTTTCTTTTTATGATTATTTGTTGATGTTGTCTTTCTTTTACTTTATTTTTGTTCTCGTTTATTTGGACTGTTGTTTACTGGACAGCGGACTGTAGATTTGCGACTATTCAGCTCATTTAGGGTCTCTTTTATATACAAGTAGGAGGTTCGACCTTAACCCCCACCCTGTGTTGTTATGAAAAAAAAAAAAGTAAAATCAAAAGCCACGTTCGATTTTGCCGGTGGTTCATTAAAATGGGCGAAAACGTAATATGCTAAAAATTATGGTGATGATCAAAATAGAAAAACCGTTTACAAGAATAATTATTTAGGAATTTCATACATGTTGGAAATCAAAGAGTGGATATAGTAACATTTTATGAGTTTAGCAATAGTAGGTATCCAAATTAACAACGGTTTTTTTTAACACTTCATGTTCAATAGATATTAGAAGTTATGGTTCTGGTGAGAATGTTATCAGTGAAAAAATAAGAATACATTATAGTCATCATATTTTATGATCTAACAACAAAAAGGCGAATCAATATTATACATTAACAAAGGGTATATTTCTTAATTTTAGACCACACATACGCATGGGCCCCATCCTCTTCCCCCTCCCAATTGTCTTATTTCTCACATAGTACCATTCCCTCTCTCACACACATCACATTATTCACGCTACATCCCCTAAATCTCACTCTTATCCCTGCACTAGCCGCCCCTACCCGCCATTCCTGCCTCGTCGCCGCTGATGAAATAACCATCTGGCAGCCTTAACGGGTTCTTTGACTAGGTGGAGGCCATCAAAGATGAGCTCCGTGGCCTGGAGATCATCCACAACCACCTCTTCTCCCACAACAACTCCAAACGCTCCACACCGGTGCTCCACACTGTCACCGCTGTCAGGGACTACGGTAGGGAACAGACACCAACGTAATCACCGCTCTTCAAAAGACGAAAGTCATATAAGACCCCACCTCAAGCTCCTCGATTGGTCCAATGTTACCCATCGCCGCCACCTAAGGTGTATTCCAAGAAGCTCCCTTCGATCGGTCCTGCACCTCCGCCGTCGTCGACCTTTAGAGGAGGCGTATGAC